CCACTATGTTTTTCCTTCTTTTGGCTACAACAGAACAGTCAAACTTTACAGAGTGGTAAAACTGAATATAAATGCGCAGTTTCCTAAGTTAATACATAAATTATAGCATAAAGGTCTTCTGTAGGGAATCTTATTGGTTTAAAATGCATAATATTTGCTCCTTGCTGCTTCTCCTGAACGTGTGTTGACGCATGGACAGTTACCCGCTTTGGGCTTCTCACGCCATGACTTAATTTATGCATCGTATAAGCTTAAACCTCCTAAATATTCCCCTACTGTAATGCATCTTCGCAGTTTTTCTAAAATAGACTTTGACAAGCTTAGGAATGACGCTCTTAATCTCGATCTAGCCTCTTTAATAGCAGCATCTACTGTTGACGATAAAGTCACTATCCTTAACCACAATATTCTTAGCCTTTATGATGCTCATGCTCCTGTTCACAAGATTAGATTGAAGCGTCCCCCTTGCCCCTTGGATGGCAGAGGGCATAAGGATGGCAATGGCTAGACGAAATCGTGCTTTTCTTCGTTTCAAGAGAGATCGAACCGAAGAAAATTGGTTATCTTTTAAAGCAGCCAGGAATAGGTGTAATCATATGGTACGTGCAGCTAAACGCCGATATTTCCATAACTGTATTAATTACTCTTCTCCAGTTTTAGTGTGGAAATTCCTAAAATCTTTCGGTTTTTGTAGACCAGCTACGTTGGATTGTGGTCCTTCTCTATCACTTGATAAAATCAACCAACATTTCGCTTCTGTAAAAGCACTGGACCCTACAATTCGTTCCCAAACTATGGCTTCCATTGCTTCTATGCAAATTTCTAACATTCCTACCTTTAATTTTTCTCCTGTTTCTCAGGATGATGTCAAAAAGTCAATTTTAGCAATCCAGTCCAAGGCCCTGGGTTACGACGAGATTAGTAGACATATGGTAGTATTTATACTAGAGCACCTTCTCCCGGCAATTTCCCATATAATCAATTTTTCCCTTGATTCAGGTCAGTATCCTAATCTTTGGAAGAGGGCTTTTGTGAAGCCTCTCCCAAAAGTTCCTACTCCCATTCTTTCCAATCATTTTCGTCCAGTATCCATTCTACCCTTTCTTTCCAAAATTTTAGAATCCTGTGTTTACAAGCAAATTTCTACTTTTGTTTCGAAACATAACCTACTGAGTATATATCAGTCTGGGTTTCGTCCTGGTCATAGTACCACTACTGCATTAATTAATGTTATTGATAATATTAAACAAGGCATGGAAGAAAAAAAATAACAGTACTGGTACTAGTTGATTTCTCAAATGCTTTCAACACAGTTGATCACGAAATCCTTCTTTCCATACTGTCTCACCTGAATTTTGGCCCTACTGAATTGGACTGGTTTACATCTTATCTTCGCGGTCGACAGCAGTCAGTCAGTGTGGGGCAACTGTCCTCTGCGTGGGCTGATGTGGATGCTGGTGTGCCGCAAGGCGGTATTCTTTCTCCTATAATGTTTTCAATTTTTATAAACTTTATTACCTCCATCATCGACTGCTCGTACCATTTGTATGCCGATGACCTTCAGCTTTATGTGCAAACTGAGATTGGGGATATCCATAATGGGATCAAAAACCTTAACGGCAACTTAGCAGCTATCAGGGATTGGTCAACTCGTTATGGGGTTTTGGTCAATCCTTTGAAATGCCAAGCTATACTGGTGGGTAGCTCAAAGATGCTGGCTAAGATTAATCTGACAGACTTACCTCCTATTTACTATGATAATACTACAATTCCATTCAGTAATTCTGTTAGAAATCTTGGCCTTCACATCGACAGCACGCTGAATTGGAGAACTCAGGTTTCAGATGTGAGTCGTAAAGTCACTGCCGCGTTATGCTCTCTGTATCGTTTTAAGCATTTTCTCCCCACAAAATCTAAGATCATGCTTGTCCATTCACTTATATTACCCATAATTGATTATGCAGATGTGTGTTACCCAGACCTGTCCCAAGATCTTCTGAACAAGCTGGAACGCCTCCTCAATAACTGTATAAGATTTATCATTGGGTTTCGTAAGTATGATCATATTTCGCAATACAGATCTAAGCTAAATTGGCTTACAATCCGGCAGAGGCGCAACTCCAGAATATTACTTTCCATATTAAATGATCCATCTTCGCCTTCTTATCTTAAGAGTAAATTTCATTATCTTTCCTCATCTCATGATAGGGTCCTACGCTCTTCTTCTAACAACAAAATCTGTACTCCAGTTCACATCACCGAGTTCTACGGTAACTCCTTCACAGTTCAGGCTACACGCCTTTGGAACTCCTTGCCCGATGACATCAGAAAAGCTCCCAATAAGTACGCTTTTAAAAAGTTGGTCCGTGATCATTTATTAAAGACAACGCATTCTACATGACTTATCTATTTAATATGTATTGCCAAACAGACGTATATATTCATAGTCATTTGTATATACTAATTATGTATGTATTTAAATATGTTTATTTGTATGTATATCCATTTATTTATATATTTGTATATATATAAGGATAGATCATATATGTATAGTTTATTTATTAGTAGTTTGTATATATTATGTAGTTAATTATCATTTGTATTGTGTTATCTTATTCTATATTGCCACACCTACGTCAAACTCTCACCACTCCATGGGTTGACTGGTAGAGAATGCCTCAAGGCATTAAGTCCGCCCTTTGTATTCTTTTGTTAAGGATGCAATAAAGAATAAAATAAATAAATAAAAATAAATATTTAACAAATTTCTTTGTGACTTTAATACTTCTATAAATTTCGTTTTTGTAGCTCCATCCCATACAGGAATACAATATCCTAAGATAGAGTAAGCCTAAGCAATATATATTTGGTAAAGTAACTATTTCGTGTGTTAGTGTTTTAAATGTCCATGCAATTTTTCTATTTATTCATGATTAATTCAATGTCTATGCTATGAGAAATGTTGGTCAACTATAACTTCTAAATACTTGGCCTCGGAGATGTTAAGGGATTATTGCGTGTGTAAAGCTTAATTTAGAAATGAATGTTGGGCTGAGTTCGAATATAATTTGTAAAACATATGTTCTTTTTAGCGGTTAACGCGTAAACTTGTGTCTTCTGAGGGTTAAATTGGACTATATTTAGTCGCTCCAATCCGAGACTTTGTTCAGCAAAGACTGGACTTCAGACACGTTTGTCCCGGTACTAGGAGACGTTTTCCCGAGAAATATTGACACGGCCGGTGTACTGAGCATCACCAGTGTTGTCATCCGCATAATGATGAATGTTACGAGTTTTCAACATATCATTGATATGCAGAAGAAACGGCGATGGTGATACCACGCAACCTTGTGGAACGCCAGCTTGATAGGGTTGTAGTCGGAGCATGCACCATCTTAAAAGTTTCATTCATCCCCCCTTTGGGCACTACTGCCTCCATCCATCGATGAGTAAGGTAGATATTTGTCTCTCTACTTTAACTTATGTACTAGTTCAACCAGTTACAGCTCTTCCCTTTCTGAGAGAACAATTTGTTTGCTGCGTTTCTGTAATGAGTGGTGGTGAATTCACATACCTTCGAAAAATTTCTCACACATGCATGTTTCCTCACCATGTTTTACTTTACTGTTTAAAATGTGTTAAATCAGTTCTCGGATTGTAGTGTTGGATGATAAGATAAACAAACACACAACTGCAAAATGTTTATTTTGCCACACTCAATGTATTTATATTTAATATATTTTGATACGAATTTTACGTTGTTGGCCTTCCGACATATTAATAACTTGTAAGCATTTACATCTGATATAATATAAGTTGTATTTATAAGTGTAGATATAAGTTGTATTTTATACATGTTTTGCTAATTTCATTATGTATGTATTTCTATTTACATAATTATTATGTCATATAATATAGAGCTAATTTTATTTTGCAATTAATATTGCAGTTCACCACAGGCCACACTAAGTAGCCGTGCTTGGTCACTAGAGAGAGAGAGAGAGAGAGAGAGAGAGAGAGAGAGAGAGAAAGCAAGGTAACAATTTGGATCCAAAATCTGATGGAAAAAGATACTAGTTCCCTGACCATAGTTACTCAACAACTCATCGATTAAATATATATAGTTACTATTTGAAAACAATTCAATTCAGCCCATCATGCTTTGTATATTTTGATGTACCAGGTGTAAACAATTAAATCTTATTATTTCTAATATTTCTTTTATATTGTAAATAAAATATCCTTATAAATATAAAATATATTTGTCTAGTACTCAAACGCTTTGTAATAATAATAATAATAATAAGGCGTAGAGAAGTGACGACCCCATAGCCCGCTGACGTAACAGTGAAGTGACGAAACTGCTACGTCGGTGCAGTCAGTCAGCGCCTTGCCAAGAGGTGTGAGCGCCGTGCCTTGGCAGTACTCAGGGTGCAAAGGCCCGTTTGTGCTTACGGCCGTACAATGAAACGGTGCCGGGCCTGGGCGTCTCCCGTTAATTGGCGCCCAAACATGGATGATGGATTTTAATAGAAAACGTATAGGGCCGCTGCCTGGGGGTCGCCGGGGCGCGTCTGGAGCTGGCGCTGGACGCGGCAGCATGCGGGCCGCCAGCCGAGCGCGAGGAGCTGCAAGATCACCTAGCAGCCCCCCGCATCCATCATCCCAACCAGATGGCTTGATGTCGGCAGGGTCCTCTCAGACTCGGTATCTGCCGCTGGTGGAGTGCGCCGCATGCGTTGGAACAAATATGAACGTATATATGCGTTGAAAAAAATATGAACGCAAACGCATTGCGGGCGTACTATAGGGCGAAAGGAGAAGAAACCGTAGGGATAGCGTATCGGGCTCGGATGCATTGCTTTTTTGAGCTTGCTTTTTCTTGCTGAGCTGGAGCCATCTATTCCTGTCACGGAACAAAACCTGGCAGACCGAATTCGGTACATTATGCGCTCGAAAATATTTTATAAGAGGCCATTCCCTCATCGAATGATTTGGCTATGGTTGGGGATGCGGCTCCTCAGGCGACAAACCAGCATCCACGCGTGGAAGCCGCCATGGATCTTCCAGTTGTGGTTGATTCGGACGATGATGACACGGTCTCCCACGAACTGTGGCAAATGAGAAGTATATTGGAAGAGGCGGTCTTGGAAACGCGCAGCATGCCCCTCAATAATCGACCGCGACTTCCCCGAATACCCCTAAGCAAGCGAAATTGGGCTGTCGTGAGGGCTCTTATCCCAATGCTGGTAACCCATTTGGAAGCCAGCCGGGACCTTTGCGAGACGGACTCAATTCTTTTTGGCGCCGCACTAGCAGTTTGCCGTATTATTGGCGCCAAACTTCCCATGGCTGGACGCGCTACTAAACAAAGTAGCGCCATCCCAGCCTGGAGAAAAAAAAAATTGAGGACCGTATCGCAAAGGCAAGGGCCCTTATCGGCAGACTGACAAGCTTCAGGTCGGGTAATAATAGACCAATGATTGTGCGCACCGTTAGAATGGCGTTTGCTGGGACAAATATCAGTTTGTCCCAGCCGGATATCACGCAGAAACTAACGGAGCGCATAGACGACCTGAAGCAAAAGATCGCTGCTTGGGGGAAGCGGACCCGGGATTTACCGAGAGGTCAAGGAGGTTCAACTAGAATCGTCTTTTCCAGAGTGATCAGAAGAGGCTCTATAAATCATTGGAGCAACCAGAGGTACGTGTCGAGCGGGCCCAGAACCGGATCAGGCTAACACTGTCGCATTTTGGCGTGGCCTGTGGTCAGAGCCCGTAAACCACAGCGAGGGCTCTTGGATGGAAGTTGTGGCGAGCCAGAGTGCGAATGTTACGCCTATGGACCCCGTCACCATAACGCTGGAAGACGTGGATGAGGCGGTTCGTAGGGCCCCGAACTGGAAAAATCTGGGGCTCGACGGGCTGCATCATTACTGGCTGAAGGGGTTCGTAGTGTGTCACACTGTGCTCGCCCGACAGTTTCAAGAGGCTCTCGATCAGAAGTCGCTCTCGAGCCTCTTCACTACTGGGATCACTCACTTGATTCCTAAAGATCATGATACCACAGACCCGAGCAAATACCGCCCCATCACGTGTCTATCCACCATATATAAGACACTGACATCCATTTTGAGCGCGAGAATCATTCGTCACCTGGAGCTAAATCGGGTGATGTCATGCGCTCAAAATGGATGTCGGGCGGTGGTTGTGGAACCAAGAAACCACTCCTCATTGACGCGGTTTTGGCAAAGTGGTGAAACGCAACCGTCGGAACTTCTCCACCGCCTGGATAGACTACAGAAAGGCATTCGACTCGGTGCCCCATACATGGCTAAAGAGAGTCCTCGAGCTGTACAAGATAGACTGTACAGTTAGAGACTTCCCCCGAGCAGTGTATGGGGCAGTGGAGTACGATCCTTTGTCATCTGGGCTTGCGAATGATGGCTCCGGAAAACCACATAAAGATAAGAAGGGGCATCTTCCAGGGCGATTGTCTGAGTCCAATCTGGTTCTGCCTCTCTCTGAACCCTTTCAGTACCTTACTGGAGTGCTCCGGGAGGGAATTTCAGCTTCGGAAAGGAGGTACAAAAGTAACCCACCTTTTCTATATGTATGACCTCAAGTTATTTCGCACCCATCTTATGGAATTGCTAAACGTCACTTGTGAATTTAGCAATTCTATTAGAATGGAGCTGGGGACGGATAAGTGTGCGGTCCTCCATGTTGAAAGGGGAAGGGTTGCTAACTCTGAAGGCATAGACTTATCTATGCCCGTCAACTTAAGGACCCTTTCCGAGGCTGAAACATATCGATACCTGGGTATGTCACAGAACATCAGTATCGATGAGGCTGGTATGAAACAGTCAGTTTGCGACGTGTTTTATGCACGCTTGACCAAAGTGCTTAAGAGCCTTTTGTCCAGTGTGAATAAGATACACGCATATAACAGTTGGGTCATGACTGTCCTCATGTATACCTTTGATATACTCAGGTGGACTCAGACTGAACTTAACGCCCTGGATAGAAAAGTCCGCACTACTATGGTGTCCCATAGGATGCATCATCCGAGATCGTCGGTAATGAGGCTGTACTTGCCGCGAAAGCATGCATAATCGCGAAGTGTGCAGCCTCCGTCATTACTTCCTGGCGAGATCGGATGATCCATTCTACGAGTATAATGACGTCATTTCTAGTGATAAAGGGCTAACCCCTCTATCCTTATGCAACGAGCAATGACAGGACCCAGCAGTGCGTAGCATTTTCGACCGGGAGACCGTATGAAAGAAGGAGGAGTTCCACGGGAGGTACTACAGGGCTCTACATGAGCCCTTTGTAGATACAGTCGCCACCCTCAACTGGCTACGTTTCGGTGACCTCTTCGGGGAAACCCAGGGCTTTGTTTGTGCGATACAGGATCAGGTTATTAAGACCAACAACTATTGGAGATACAACCTAAAGGATGGCATCGTCGACATATTTAGGGCTTGTCGCCATCCCGGTGAGTCACATAGGCGAGTCATCTCCGGTTGTTCGGCGCTTTCTAACTCTGAGTACTTGCACAGGCACAACCTAGTAGCCAGAATTCTACACCAGGAGCTCGCTCTGAAATACGGTCTTGTGGACCGGAAACTGCCGTATTACAAGTACTTACCGGAAGCCGTGCTCGAAAATGACAGCGCCAGGCTCTACTGGGACCGGGCTATCATCACAGACAGGACTATTCTTGCGAATAAGCCTGATATTGTGCATATGGGCCGGGCACAGTCAAGGATATTTTTGCTTGACATTACCATTCCGTATGACAAGAACCTCGTGAAAGCCGAAACAGATAAACGAACAAAATATCTGGACCAGGCTCACGAGGTGACTGACATGTGGGGTGGTATGCCGGCCGAAATTATTCCTGTAGTCGTCTCTGCTTATGGGCTAATCCCAGTCAGCCTCTCGGGTCATCTGAGGAAACTGGGACTCCGTGACGGACCGCTCCGGGCTCAAATGCAGAAGGCGGTGCTCCTCGATACTGCCCGCATCGTCCGCCGGTTTCTTTCCCTTTCCTCCTAACCCTCGGCCGTTTGGTCTCCCCTGTCGAGGGCTTCCATCTGGTTGGGCTTTTATTTATTTATGTATTTTTGTATTTATTTTATTTTATTGATATTTATGTATATTTACGTATAATATTTACCTTTTCATTTTAATTTATAATTATATATTTATAGAACCCAACCAGATGAGAAAACTATATAGATACCCCAATATAATTATAATAATCTCCCCTGCCGAGGGCTCCCATCTGGTAGGGCTTTTATTTATTTATGTATTTTTGTATTTATTTTATTTTATTGATATTTATGTATATTTATCTTCTCATTTTATTTATAATTATATATTTATGGAACCCAAACAGATGAGAAAACTATATAGATACCCCCCAATAATAATAATAATGTTTATTTCAGATATACATATCCATACACATTTTTGTTAGTAATTTACATAAACTATGTTAGTAAAAAAACTATAATAAAATAAAAATAAAATAAATTATATCTATATAAAGAGAGCAATCATTTTAGAAACTTGAATATCCTTCCCACATGTATTAGGATCCAATGCCTCTGAATGGGGCTGTCAAGCCTATCTTGAAATATACTCAAGATACCATTTGAGCTCTTCCGTAGTCTACATAACATTGACGCAGTTCGCTTTCTTATGATGCCATAAAAATTATCAACACCTGTTTCAGCAAACATGCTTGTAGCACTATAGTGTCTAGGAAGGCCCATTAGCATCCTGAAGGCATTAATATACTGAATTCAAAGCGTATAGTCACACCTCTGGCTGCAGGTATATAATGTTTGACAGTACGCCTTGAAGAGGGTTAATTTTATGTCATTTGTACACCTAGCAAACCTTCGGGCAAGCATATTGCATCGAATCGCCAATGCACGTCGCTCTCTCTCTATATAATTGTTGTCTGTTAGATATTCGTTAACAAGGTGTCCCAAATATTTAAATTGACAAACTCTACTTAATGGCACACCAGGGAGTTTTACTGGCGGTGCAGTCAAGGGTTTCTTACTGTTAACACGAAACACTAATATCTCACTTTTCTTGGTGTTGTAGATGATCCCATGTTCAGAGCGTATATTTCACACACAGATAACAGTCTACGCAACGCACTCACCGATGGACTCAGCAATACCATGTCATCGGCATAACTTATATTATTAATCACATGACCGTCAACAGAACATCCTACCCTTGTTTCACTGAGTGCACGAATGAGCTCGTTTACGTAAAGACTGAACACTGAACTGAACCCCCCCTGCATCACCCCGCATTCCAATACATATTCGTCGGATAACTCGCCAGACCATCTGACCTGGTTGACTTGATGACCGTACCAATATTTTATAGTGGTGATAACTTCAGCTGGAACGGATATTTCATGCAGTTTTGTCCATAGTATGTCATAATTAACCACGTCAAATGCTTTGGAGAGATCTAGAAATGTAGCATAAACTGGTGTTTGTCTCTGGGTGTAATATTTGACAGTATCCTTCAGCGACATTATAGCACTCTCTGTCGACAGGCCTGGTCTAAAACCAAATTGAGAATTGTTTAGTTGTATATAGTTGTTAAGTCGTCGTTCCAGTAAACCGTCAAGTACATTTGCCAATACAGTTGCTAAGGATATAGGCCTGTAATTAGCTTTATCACATATATCCCCAGTCTTCTTTTTCACTATAGGAACAACAATAGTACTCATTAGTTTAGCAGATAAATAGGAGTGCCTAATAAAAAAAAGTATACAACATTGCCAGGACCCTTGGGAGTGCTTTGCCATGGTAAATTAATTAGAAATTTTATAACCTGGCAAATGGAAGTGTAGGAGTTTGTTGTACCAAAAATCACCTAACTATATAGACGATATTCCGACTATACCAGACTTAGATGATTTACAATATAGCTTAGAAAAGGAAATATAAACACTAAAATACTGATCAAAAAGATGCTGAAACAGTTAACACTTTAGCCGAAGTAGGTGAAGGTATCAGTGGCTCAACTGAAGGCACAGAAGGAGTACTTGAAGTGCGTATGTCATTTGTTAAATAATTTACAACACAGCTTAGAAAAGGAAATATATTTACACTTTAATGCTGATTAAAAAGATGCTGAAACAGTTAACACTTTAGCCGAAGTAAGTGAAAGTATCAGTGGCTCAACTGAAGGCACAGAAGGAATACTTGAAGTGCGTATGTCATTTGTTAAATAATTTACAATGTAGCTTAGAAAAGTAAATATATTTACACTTTAATGCTGATTAAAAAGATGCTGAAACAGTTAACACTTGCAGCGGTGGCTGTACGAATTGATTTTACCTCCTCTACTTTCTGCTCGCCTAGTATTATATCGTGTCATCTAACAATACTTTCGTCACTGCAGAAACGTGCTTGTGCACATCAAATAATTAAATCCTTAGTTTTTATACAACCCTGGTACTATATAATATATTTCTGTTGACATTGAACACAAATTATATTAAGTCTCACAGTTTACATTGTCATGAACTGTAAAAAAATATCATTGTACAAAATAACTTGTTACTATTTGATTATTTATACGTTAGGATTTAAAATAGTTTATCATAACCTTAATAATAAGATGCGGTATAAAATATTAGGCCATTTTAAGACTAATAGTATGAAGTGGAACGTGGTAGTTTGACCTATTAATA